TTTTTAAAATTAATGGCAGCCAGAGGCATGTATAAAGTTCAAAAACAGGCTAAATCAAGCTACAGGCAAAATTATAAAGAATATCCAGGGAATGATCACAAAACTTCAGAATGCAGACTTCCCGCACGGAGAGGGAAAGGGGGAGCCCGGAAATCACATGGGGGTGTACGTGAGAACTTCAGTAACATTGCCAACTTTCTATTCCTTAGGTTGGGCAGTAGCCTCATGGGTGTTTATTTTGTTCTGCTGTTTCATAACTTACATAAGTACTACCTATCTTACATAGACTATCATACACATCATCATAAAAAATGTAAATGGAAAGAGCTCACTGTATATTATGAAACAAACAGAAATAAATTTCCCTAATATATCTCCCTAGGGATGAAATGGTAAAAGGGAAATCAGAACTTGCTATTGATTAACCCAGGCTGTCCCGAAAGGCTTTACTTCTGGTCCAAACTGGGATCTATCATGTTGGTGAAAATTGTCTCCTGTAAACCGACCACCTTTGGGGATCGGTGGGGAAAGAGATATCAGGAAAAATCCTCTTATCTGTCTCCCCACTAGGAAAGCAGGAATCAGGCTGATTTTTTTCACCACAGAATCTACAATGTTTAATGCCTGGTAATAAGTATTTTTTGAATGAATAAATGAATGAAATAACAGAAGGAATAAAAAAGCAATGTGCACTAGTAGATGAGCTGAGGTTTTTCTATAAGGTGGAACATAGTGAACATAGTTCATTCAAGGGAATGAACCTCTAGGACCTGTGGTTCAGGTTTCATCTCAGACATTCAAACACAACCCACGGGCACTGATTTATTTGGTCCTTGTGTAAGTGTGGCTTATTAGCTTTACACGCTGGCCCGTGTTGCTCAGTTGTTGGATTTTGTGATCACCTAGATTCAGGTAGATGCCACAATATGATGGTTAAGCCACCTGCATGTGACTGTTGCAACTGCCTGCCAGGAGTCACGGTTGTCCCTTGGAGAACACATCAGTAGGATTCTACATGCAAAATCTTAACACCTACAACTTTCTACTGATTAACAACCTGTTCATTCAATGTTTACTGAGCACTCACTCTAAGTGAGGCACTGTCCGGCCCTAAAATTACTGGCTTTGAAGGATTTTTATGCCCAATAAAATCACC